AGGGATCTGTATGGCTAATTTAGTCAAGACATCCTGTGAGTTACTTTCCCCAGTGGGAGGTGACATTTCCTCTTGAAGGAGATATTCCTCAGAAAGGGGTACTGTAACCATGATAGTGGAAGGTTGTTGGTTCCCTAAGCTTAGAGTTGTGCTATTGTCCTGAAAGCTTTCAGCTTTCGCAGCAGGTCTCTGCCAAGCAATGGGTAGGGGCAGTCGGGCATTACAAGGAAGGAGTGAGTGATAGTGCCCTTCCCAAGATCAGTGATTCTGGCTTTAGTCCATGGGTATGCTTTTGGCTTTCCTGTTGCCCCTATAATCGATGTCTTTTGGGAGGAGAGCTTTCCAGAGGCCTGCTGCAGGACCGAATAGGTGGCCCCCGTGTCGACAAGGAAGTCAGTTTGTTTTCCCTCGACCGTCAGGGTTAACATGGGTTCCTGGGGGCCTAAATTGATGGAACCCTGACCCCCCTAATCTTCCTCAGTCTCTAGGAGTAAGCGTGCAGGGGTTTCTTGTGCTTTTCTTGCCATTAGCTTGGGGCAATCTTTCTTCCAGTGTCCCATAGCCTTGCAGAAGGCGCATTGATTTTTCTTAAGTTGGGGTCTATCTTTAGATGGTTCTTTATTCCCCTTATAGGTGGCTAGTGGTCCCTTGTTAGGGATTGCCAGCAAGATTCGAGACAGTTGCCTAGTTTGCTCCTTAATGGGATCCTCCCGGTTCTGAAAAACTTTCTGAGCTATTTCAAGTAACTCACTTCTATTCTTTCCCTCAAAGCCTTCTAATTTCTGCAGTTTCTTTCTGATGTCTGGGGTTGACTGTGAGACGAAGGCCATGTTGACCATCCGTCTATTCCCATCTGCATCCGGGTCTAAGGGGGTATAAGTTCTGTAGGCCTCTAATAATCTTTCTAAAAAGGCCGTGGGAGATTCATCCTTTCCTTGCATAGTGGCTGCTACTTTTGCTAAATTGGTGGGTTTCTTAGCAGCGCCCCTTAGACCCCTGAGGAGGTTTCGGTGATAAGTGCGTAACCTCTGCATCCCCTCCCCAGTGTTTGGATCCCATTCTGGGGGTCGTTGAGGCAGTTCATCATCTAAGCCCTCGGGGCCAGCATCATCCCCGACCACAGCCTTAATTGCCTCAGCGCGTATCCTCTCCCTCTCCTCTGAGGTGAACAAAGTTTGTAAAATCTGTTGACAATCGTCCCAAGTGGGTTGGTGGGTCCGGAATACAGACTCCAATAAACTTATCAGAGCTTGTGGTTGCTCCGAGAAAGGGGGGTTTTGCTGTTTCCAATTATATAAATCGCTAGTTGAAAAAGGGACATAGATCATTCGTGCCGGGCCCATAGTGCCGGGCGCAGCGGGCACCTCTCGTAATGGGAGCATCGGGACTGAGGTGTCCGGTTCCCGGGCCGGTTGATAAGGGGTGCCGTCCCGTGTATGTGAGGGACTCAAAAGTCTGGCGTTGTCAGCCGGGCCTGGGGCTCTTGCCTGAGGCTCGTCTGAGGGTGCCTTCGCCTTCCCTCCCAAGGCGTTTCCTGTATAGGGCGGGGGCGTCATAACTTCCAGGAGTGATTCCTCAGGATCCCCTGGGAGGACTGGATATAACCGGGGTTTGGGTGCTTTCCCAGGGGATTCTGGTTGGCTCTCCTTGGTTGCCCCCCGCGGTCGCTCCGTTGGGGCTGCAACCATGATGGTATGCTTTCCTACCTTAGCTTTCATTCCCTTTTGGGGCTCCTCCCTTCCGCATTTTGTTATATAGGGAGGCTTGTCTAACACTATGTCAATCCAGACATCTATATATACCCGTTGATCTGGGTGAGGGACCCTATAAACAACCGAACGCACTGCGAAGAGGAGGTTAGGGTCAAAACTCCCCTCCGAGGGCCATTCCACCCCAAAGGCTGGCCACTCTAGTTCACATAGCGTCCTCAGGAAGCCGGGGTCTGCTGGCTTCCCATAATTACAGGACCTTTTGAGAAAATCGGAAAAGTTAGAGAGCAAACATTCAAGGGGTGTCGGTTTCCTGGATGGTCCTTGGCCCATGGCGTCTCTCCTGAGAGTGAAACAGTTAGAGCAGAAAGAGAGGCTGAACATACAAGAACACGAAATCAGAAGACAAACAAGAACAATCACTGAGACTAGTCTCACACCCTCACAGAACACACACACCTTCAAAGTGAAGCACCTAGGCTTCCAAAATCAGAAGTCAGCGTCCTGACTCTGATTAGAGGCAGACAGTGCGCGGCGTCCCGCCTGTACAGCCTCACCAAATGCTCCGGAGCCAAAGACACAAAGAAACAAATGGATCGATCCACTTACCAAGACCACGTGGTGCAAAGTCCCTAAGCCGAATCTGGCCGCAGTCAGAAGATCAAATTTGTAGAGGCGAGGATGGAGGCGCCTCGCCTTGTGCCTGAGGAGGTCGACCCCTCTCAGAGGGGGACCTCGAGGTGATCTCGCTGGGGCCTCCAAATGTTGTAACCCAGGAGATCAACCAAACTCAGACGCCGAGATGGGGTTTAACAAAAGGAGTTTATTGAGCTAAGTCCGCAGGCCTGCAGTGTGTCCCACACAGGAGTAACTGCGGCAGCCGAGAGCTAAAATGGCTCCTTTTTATAGGATTTTGTGAGGGGGGTTGCTACGTATAAGCAAGCATGTTACAGAAGCGGAATTTAGCAGTTAGCTAATTACCTGTTACTCAGTTTCCCAGACATCTCAAAGGTCAAGATGTTTTCAATAAATTATCCCTGGCGCCGACCCCAGGATTCCTCAAGGGTTAGTGTTTACTTAGGGATTAGCTGGTGAAGAATGTTCTTCAGTAAATTAGTAAACTGACAACCCCTTTGGTTGTCTTGAAGGCCTCTGGGAGTTTGGGTCAATGGCACTGAGTTATAACATAATGTGCTTGTTTATAAATCACTAAAGTATTAATATTTCAATGTTTACTTAGTTACTTTCCAACAATTATTATTTTTATTGGAAAAAGTAGAAAACACTGGGAAAATAATAATCAGTTTTGTTATTAAGAATTTTCATCAACAGGCCCTGGCTGGGTAGTTCAGTTGGTTAAAGCATCTTTCTGATATGCCATGGTTACAGGTTTAATCCATGGTCAGGACACATACAATAATCAACCAATGAATGCATAAGTAATTGGAACAACAAAATCAATGTTTCTCTCACTCTCTAAAAAAATCAGTAAATAAATAAAAAAAGAATTTTCATCAGCGGATATTAACTATTAGAGAATAGAATATCCACATACTCTCAAACAGGCTCCCCTTGGGTTATTTGTTGATTATAGAAGTAGAAAGTTGCCTTTATAATTCAGGGACCTGGCAGACAACTCCTTAAGCAAATCATTAGACTTAATATCACCAATGATGGAACAGTTTCATCACGCACCTGCCATTGTGATTCATTAAGGACATATCACCTTTGTAGTACTCTTGCCAAAAACTGTTTAACCTAATTTCTTTTTTTTTAATTTTTTAAATTTTTCCCCCACTACCACAAATTATGCAGTCGAGTTTCCCACATTTGGGGAAATCGCAGGGGTCAGCACATCCGGAGTGCAATGGATAAGCCTCGCCCTGGGAAAACCACCTTCGTGATCATGGTATCTCCCCTGCCAGGTAAGTATTAACCTAATTTCTAGTTATGAGAAAACAGACAAATCCAAATTAAAACCATTCTGAAAAACCAGTGACTTGCACTCTTCAAAAATGCTGTCACCCTAGCCAGGTAGCTCATTTGGTTAGAGTTGTCCTCATACACCAAGGTTGCAGGTTCGATCCTCGGTTAAGGCGCATACAATAATCAACCAATTAATGCATAAATAAGAGGAATAAGTCGATATTTGTCTCGCTCTCTCCATAAAAATGCCAATGTCACTAAAGACAAAGAACACTGTAGAACTATTCTAGATTAAGAGAACTTAATCTAAAAGAGATAAATAAATGTGAATCTTGACTGGATCCTAGATCTCCCCCACTCCAATAAGAAAGAAAGAAAAAAAGCCATAAAACTTTAAAGCTTAAATATGCACTGCACATTAGGTAACAGTATTGTACTAAATGTTAAGTATATGACTGGATTACTGTATTGTGGTTAAGTTATGAGAATGTCCTTGTTAGGAGCTAGATGATGGAATATTTAGGGGTGACCTATAACCATTGTCTGCAAATAATATTCTGGCAAATTGTGTACGGACTAAAATTATTTACCTGGTTGAAGAATTTTATGTCAGCATCTAGTCGACACTGTCCACAGACTGAACAGAACAAGCAAAGTTTCCCTCCGTACAGCGGAGGAGAAGCAGGCAGCCGAACCCTCAACCTTCCTGGGTGGCAAGTGGAGCCTTGGGAGCTTTAAGGTGACGGCAGCCCGATGGGTGCACATAAGACTGTGGTCCTACCTTTGCTAGAGGGGCACACACACAGACGTGCACGCACACACACGCATTCTACACATTTCGGGTACTCACCTGAAGGAAGGCACAAGAACCAGGCTGTGCTCAGGCTCCCAAAGGCACACACAACAGAAGCATGTGCTGTCCGTCGCACTTTACGGCAGTCGTGTTAAGGCACAAGGGCAAGGCTGTAGTCTTGCTCTTAAAGGCACAGAAGACAGCGGGACGTGCTGTCTGCCTCACTTTACGGCAGTCACTGAAGGCACGAAAGGAAGGTCACGATCCCGCCCCCAAAGAAACACCCACACCCACTCACCCACACATACCCACACACACCCACACACATACCCACACGCACCCACATACCCACACGCACCCACATACCCACGCACTCACGCACTCACGCACGTACACATGCGCGCGACAGCAGCACGTGCTGTGTGGTGCACTTTACGGCAGTCAAGCTAAGGCGCGAGGCCGTGGGCTGACGCTGGCATCCGGGTAGGCTGCGGCTTGCAGTCCCCGCCCCCACGGCACTGTGACCTAGCCGTTCAGCGTTCAGCCGTTGGCATTCTAACGGCTTGGCGATCATGGCGGCGATAGCGGCACTGTGGCGGAAGGCAAGGGACTACATAAAGACCAAGGAGTTCCGGGATTACATAACCAGCACACACTTTTGGGGTCCTATGGCCAACTGGGGCCTGCCCATGGCAGCCTTCAGGGACATGAAGGCGTCTCCGGAAATCATCAGCGGCCGCATGACAACCGCGCTCATCTTCTACTCGCTGGCTTTCATGCGCTTCAGTTACCGCGTGCAGCCCCGAAACCTGCTGCTGATGGCGTGTCATGCCACCAACGTGACGGCGCAGAGTGTGCAGGCGAGCCGCTACCTAGCCTACCATTACGGCGGGGGCGCTGGGGAGACCACTGCTGTGGCCGCCACCCAACCCGACACGGCCACCATTCAACCTGAGACGGCCGCCACCCAACCTGAGACGGCCGCCACCCGACCTGACACGGCCACCACCCAACTTGACACGGACGACACGGACACCACGGCCTGCGTTTGCGACCCCAATGATTTCAGCTTCTAGGTGGCCACCAGCCCCATCTGCAGCCTGCGAAATGAGATTCTTCATGGCTAAGATGGCCCTATCCAATCTTTGCAGCTTGCAAGTACTGAACTATTAATATCACTCTTCCTGAAGATGAATGGAAAGATTGGTTTTGACTCTAAAACAGCGCAAATCTCATTTAAACCTGCAGCTTGGTTAATAAACAATAGAAAGTAGCACAGAATTGAAGCCGAGTGTCGCCTCTTTCTTGACCAGGGAATAAAATGTTTTGTTATGGGGGGAGGAGGGTAGATTGGTTGGTCTTTGGTCTTTTCTTCACAGGACGTGCAACTCAAGGGTTAGTTTTTTGTTGTTTTTAATCCTCACCCGAGGATATTTTTCCATTGATTTTTAGAGTGGAAGGGAGAGAGAGAAACATTGATATGTGAGAGACACAAATAGATTGGTTGCCTCCCACACGATCCCTACTGGGGCTGGGATCCAACCTGCAACCCAGGTCCCAGGGCCCTTAGATCCTGGGGGGCCCGCTCTAACCCCTGAGCCAAACCGGCCAGGGTTCAAGGGTTAGTTTTATATGGGGAAGAAAGACTTTCAATAAAACATATTTCAAGTTACCTAACTCATTGCTTTTTTAATTTTCTTAAACCTCTCTTGTGAACATGTTCTTGTTCATTGTTTTGGGTGTCCAGGCCAGATAAGGATACTTAGGATGCATGACTTAAAACTTGGTAGAGCCACAAATCTCTTTACACCAAAAAAAAAGTCCGGGGTCTATTTCTACTGATGGAAATACTTGGAAGTGAGTTTAAAGGAACTCAGTGGATTTCAGTTTACACTTTTAGAGTACTTACAAAGAGAATCTAGAATGTCTTGTTGACTGAAAGCAATTATAGACTCTTCCATGGAAACGGGATAAACAACTCTGAGGTCAGTTGTTGTCAAACCTGGGCTCTAGGTAACTAGAAAATAAAAATGACAAAATCCTAATCTTTTCCTCATGCCTAAAAATGGGGGAAATGGCAGTTTGTGAAACTGATTAAGCTATCACCCTGTTGAACACTAGCTATGGTTGGGGGTGAGGATCTGTGGACAGCAGTATTGGCCCAGACTATCCCCCCTCCAGGAATCTCATAGGTGCTATGGATTTTTCTTAAACCAGGGAGGAGGGGAGGAGGGAAAAGAGAACTGTGGGGCTGTGGAGCTGAGGCCATTCTGCAGCAAGTACCATTTCAGACTTGACCCCAAATCTCTCCCTATTTCTAGAGGATGCTGGAAGTTCCAGAGTGGTCTACTGGGGAATCCCAATGTATGTGTTTAACACTGCTTCAACCCTGCTTTTATTTTTTATTTATTTTTTCTATCCTCACCCGAGGACATTTTTTTCCCATTTTTGTTCAGATAGAGTGGGAGGGAGAGGGAGAGAAACATGAAAGGGACACATCGAGTGGCTGCCTTCCGCACGACCCCAACCAGGGTCGGGGATGAATGCAACCAAGGTATGTGCCCTTGACAGGAATCAAACCCCGTGGCTTATTGGTCTGAAGGCTGATGCTCTAACTGCTGAGCCAAACCAGCCAGGGCTGCTTTTATTTTTTAAAATATGTTTTTATTTACTTCAGAGAGAGAGAGAGAAACATTGATTGCCTGCCTCCTGCATGCCCCCGACTGGGGATTGATTCTGCAACCTGGGATGTGCCCTGGCCAGGAATTGAACCTGCAACTTCCTGGTTTATGGGACGATGCTCAACCAACTAAGCCACACTGGCCAGGCTCAACCCTGCTTTTGTTAAATATTTCTCTGTACCGCAGGCCGACGCTCTAACCGCTGAGCCAAACCGGCCAGGGCTTTTGTTAAATATTTCAAGTGCAAAGAAATTGTAAACAACTATCTGAGCCCTGGCCTAGTTGCTCAGTTGGTTAGAGCATTGTCCTGATACACACACCAAGGTTGCAGGTTTGATCCCTGGTCAGGGCACATACAAGAATCAAGCAATGAATCCATGAATAAGTGGAACAACAAATCAGTGTTTCCCTCCCCTGCTTCCTCTCTCTCTCTCTCTCTCTAAAAATCAATCAATAAAAATCCTTTAAAACACACACACACAACTATCTGAAAGGATCTGAAATGATCAGGTTTTGGATAAGACAGGCACATTAGTGGAACTCTGGAAGATTCCCCTTTATCTTCCGTGGCATTTAAGCAGACGGACTCTTTGTAGACAGTCTTTGCATTTCACTTTCTACATACAGGGGTGTGGGGATGGGAGTTATAGTGTATTATCTATTGCTGTGTAACAAATCATCCCCAAACTTAGCTCTAAACAACAAATGTTTGAAATGAAAAACAACAAAAAAATATTTATTAGCTCACACAGTTTCTGAGGGTCAGGAATGGATAAGAGTGCCTTAGCTGGGTGCTTGCTGCTAGCTCGGGGTCTCTTCACTGTCCACTGGGGCTGTAGTCTCTGAAGATTTGCCTGGGGCTAGAAAACCCCACTTCCAAACTCACAATTTGCAGGCGGCTTCAGTTTCCTGTCACGTGGGCCATGCGGCTACTTACAACATACCTCCCCCACAGCAGGTGTTCCAAGAGAGAGAAAGCCCAAAATGGAAGCTATCGGTTATTTATTTATTTATTTAAAAACTTAATCTGGGAAGTGGTCTACCATCACTTCAGCTGTGTTCTATTGGTCACACGGTACACTGTGGGAGGACAATACAAGGGTGGAAATACCAGGGGGCAGGCACCATTGGGGGCCATCTTCTAGGCTGGCTACCACACACACGGGGGTTCAGGAATAAAAATTCGCATGCAGTAATAAAAAGCTGTTCCTAAAGTTCTGAAATGAATCATAACCTTATATCAAGATTTTTATTAAAACTTTGAAGGATTTTCCTCTTCACTATTATGAGTAGAAAATAATATATTTTTAGATGTGTCTTACAAAATGTATTTTGTAATTTGAGTATTATATTTCAATAAAAGGCCACTGTCAATTGAACATATTTCAGAGCAGGTAGGTTATTCTAATTAACCTGGTAAGGGAAAAGGAGGTACTCTTTGCTGATAATTTCTTATCACTCGACATTTATAATTTAATGAGCAAAAGGATTAGAGAAAACATCCAAAAGATGGCAGTACCTTTACTCTAATGCAGTGTTCCACTTACAGGATCCAATTCATAGTATGCTCACCCAACTACAAGATCTAACCCTTTGTTGCCTAGGATAGTCATGCTTAAAGCCATATAAATGATTAATACTTTAATAAAAACGAACCTTTCAAATCATTAGGGTAACAATCATTTCATAGTCTCCCCAAACTCTCCAACATAATCCTTTCTGGCCCTTGCAGTTTAACTTAAACTGTCTACGGATCTCTACCACTACTTTATGAAGCCAATAACATTTTCTGAATTGGCAGTTATCGTTCTAGAAGTTTTTGTTACTGACACACATTTGTTATTTCCCAGAATTTATGTTTTATATTGAGTTTAATAAGTCATGACTTTCCCCTTATGTCCTCTGAGCTTCCTGGCAAAGCACAGGCTAAAATCCAAAGAACTGCCTCATCTTTGCAACTCTAATGCTAAAACCATTTTTCTCCTAATTCTTTCAAAACCATGAACCACACACTGTGTCCCAGGCAGAGGCTGAGAGCGAATCATATTGCTGGATGAGAACGAGGCACTCTGAGATGAAGCAAAGCCTTGTGTGAGAAGGAATCTACTTCCTGGGCTGCTTCTGCCCTTGACAGCGCAGGAATACCCCCGGAGGTGGAGCTGACCCCCACATAGATGGAGGCTCCAAGTATTACAGAAAATGTGACACATAACTCTTGTTTGAATTTATATCGTTCATGTCTCTTTATTTTGAAATATAAAATTTTAAACAAAAAAAAAATTAAAAATACTCGAGTGCATATTTGTTGTAAAAAGTTCATGTGGGAGTATACAAAGTAGAAAAGCCCAATTTGTTCAAACCACTCCTCTCAACCCCCATTCCTTTTGGAGGTAACAGCAACAAAGCTGGAAAAACACAACTTTCCCGACCTGTTATTTTAAAGTACAAATAGTTTCATAGCATGCTATGCATTGTTAAACATTCTGCTTTTCTATTTACTATGTCTTAGAGGTTAGTCCATATTACTGCATTGCAGCATTTCCTCATTCTTTCTACCAATTACGTAATACCCTGTAGCATGGCTGTGTTGTGATTTATTTAACCAGCCCTGTCCTGAGGGCTGGCTGCCAATTTTGCTATGACTACCCTTTGGTGCATATTCTGTGCTCGCATGCATAGGTCTGTACAAGAGAGGCCCACAGGTAGATGTCCCTATACACGCCACATTTGCTTTTGAGCCCTCTCTGGGAATGTCTTCCTTTATTTCAATTTCAATGTAATTAAGTGCTGCCAGTATAGTTTTCTGAACAATATCTTAATTTATCAGAGCAGACATTAAATCCAATAAGATGAAACCTCATAGAACATTGACCATACCTTTAAAATCTTCACATTTGCATTTATGTCAGTGCCTGGCATATGGCTGACACTGATAAATTGTTGTTGGATAGATAAGGAAAAGCTAACTATATACGAGAGGTATGAAAATAAAGTGTTCATAATCCCAAGTTCCTAAAGTTGGAAATTTGTTAGTGAATCAATATTTAATTTGATGCCAAGTTCTGTATCTTTTATCTAGAAGCTAGGAAATAATTCAGTTTCTCAGTTTGGGCGGAGTTGTAAGATGAATGAAAATTCTTCTTACTTTACTATGGAAGTCATCTCAAGGAACTCCATAAAACGAAGGGAGAAACAAACTGCAAGATTAAAGACCAAACAGTAACAAGAAAGATTAATGCAGGAAGTTACAGGCACATCTGCATTCATCCAGGTTTTACACAATTACACTAAATGCCTTTTAATGTAAACAGATTTACATTAAACATTTCCCCATCCTCAGCCCATTCACTACAGATCACATCCTGGATGGGCAGCTGAGGAAGCAAAAGAGCTAGGCTTCCCTTGAACATTCCTCCAGGCAGCAGACGGGGGCAATTCTGTCCCTGAAGGTTCAGAGGCAACGTGGTCCGTGGTCCGGTTAAGCAGCACAGCACAGACCGGGACAATGGCATCACAATTCAGGAAACAAACAAAGTCAGAAATGGATGACTTTTTGGGTAAAAGGAGTAGAGGAAGTATGAATAAATTTGTGAATCTGTTAAAAGAAAATGTCTTTGAATTTCCATAAGAATGTTGAAATTTTCTTACATCTCCTAAGGAAGGACCAGGCTGCTTACATAACAGTATAACTGACACTTACATCTACATATGAATACTCCTAAGCTATCGGCAGTCAAGGAATATTCATTGAGCACAGGAGGGGTACTCAGCACTTGGGATCGAAGTGAACAGAAAGGGCTGTGACTGCCAACACAGTTTTCTTTTTCTAAGTGCCACGGACAAGCCAGCAACTGCGGAGCTTTCCCCAACATCCCTGTTTGTGAGGCTGGCCTGGAACCGCGCCCTCCCCCACCCTTTGGTCAGTCAAGTCGCTGTGTTCTCCAGCCTCGCACTGACCAGCCTGGGCCCACCCCTTTATCCTACTGCCACAGGCTACCAGGAATAGTTACCGTTAACAGTTCTGTAACTGATGGGAAATGGCTAGAAAATGGCCTTTCCGGAAATTTTCTTGCCTTCTTCCAAAAAAGGAAGGATTTCTATCTCAATTTTTACACCACTGCTCACCGCCCCTGGGGCATCCTCATGAATGAGTGAGACTTTCAGGAGGGAGGGGGCGGGGCGGGGCAGGACTTGTCTGCCAGTGGTCAGAGAACTCTGCAGGGCGCTTCACACGGGCCTGGCCACACACAGCCTTTATACTGTGTTTAGGCAGTGACAGTTTAGAAGAAGAAAGGAATCTCACCTTTTAAACAGTAACAAAACAAAACAAAACAAAAAAATCCTGGCTAATGGTTTTGGCATAAGAGTGTCTAATATTTTTTGGTCAGTAGAGATCACACAACACCAAGCTTAGGAATATAAAAAATATACTCCCGAAGAGTTAAAGGCAAGTTCAGGAACAGACAACAAACATTTCTTTTTGGTTGGGTCGAGTGCTCTGGTAAGTCTCTCCTTTCGCACAGAAAAGGATGATGGCTGAGATGGAAGCCGTGCTGACTTTCAAAGAACATGTCCGACTGTTGTTCAAGGGGAACCTAAAATAACAGAAAATATTTAACTTTTTTGAGGGAAAAAAATATGAAGATAGTTATTTATTTTAGCAACTTTTTCTTATGGAAATCAACAAGTTGCTACTGATACCACAACGAAGAGCTAGGCATCACTGGCATCACTGTAGGGCTGCCATGCTTTTCGATTATGTTATAAATGTGATTCACTTAAGACTAAATCAACAACTTCAGGTATATTTGGCTAAACAAAGCTGGCAGGGAGTTTATGTTGAATTACTTCACATGTGAGAACCATCAACTAGAAACAGCACAAAGCCCAGTGTCCCTTCTCTCAAATAATGACATAGGGAAACTTCAGGTGAGACTAAGTGTATGTTCATTATGACTTTACATAAGAGAACAGACATCAAAGAGATGAGGCTATTCTCTTCTTATTTAACATCAAATGCCTAAACTCACCTTAGGCCTCCCCTTCAGGTGTCTGTGCCCCAGGTTCTTTTGAATTCAGTTTTTGATGCTGCAGATGCAGGCTGTCTAGCTTCTGTAGATCTTCTGTAAGGCCATTTCTAAGATCTTTATTGTTTCTCAGAAATTCTTTTACCACTTCCAGTCGATTTAAGATCTGCAAAAAGAAACCACATAATTTAAAACTCAGATAATTTTATAGCAGGCTTATATTTCAAGTGAAAACTTACTAGCTCTAAGACTGGCTCCTGCTCATGTGCCCACCAAGAGACAGAAACCTTGGTTACAGGCACCTGTCCACAAACAGGTTAAGGTTTGAAAAGCAAAACCTGCCTGGCCAGTGTGGCTCAGTGGATTGAGCATCGTCCCATGGACTGAGAGGTTCATTCCTGGTGTGGCACATGCCCGGGTTGTGGGCTTGATCTGCAGTACGGGCCATGCAGGAGGCAGCCCATCAATATATCTCTCTCACATCGATGTTTCTATCTCTCTCCCTCCCTCTCTCTCTAAAAATCAATAAAAACATATTTTTTTTTAAAAAAGAAGAAAAACAAAACCAAACAAACCCTTTAAAATAAAGAATCCTCTACTCAAACTAAACAAAATCCGGGCTAGCTGGTTCTGGGCCACACAAGGGGGTGTGTTTGCTTGCCTCCGCAAAAAACAAACAAACAACAACTTCCTGTATTTGTATGAAAGGGCCAGACACACAACACACACAGGTGATCCTCAACTTACTATAGAGTCACATCCTGATAAGCCCATTGTAAGTTGCAAATGTAAGTAAAAAATGCATGCAGCACACCTAACCCTCTGAACATCATAGCTTAGCCTAGCCTACTTTAAACATGCCCAGCACCATGAGAGAGTACTGTACCGATCTCGCTAGCCCAGAAAAAGATCAAAATTCAAAGTACGGTCTCTACTGAAATACATTATCTGTGTTGTACCACTGTAAAGTCGAAAAATCATAAGGAAAACCACTGTTAAGTTGGGGCCATCTGTATATGTCTACACACACACACACACACATATTACATATATATAAAAATAAAATGAATCTCATTTATTTTGAATTTTGTACCTGTACATGTATTACTATTAAATATATTTACATATATATACATTCATACATATAGATATATATGTGTATGACTATCCGTATGGATGTATATGTATGTATCTGTGCATGTTTTTTTTTGTTTTTTGTTTGGTGGTACGTGCCCTTAGTGGGAACCGAACCCAGGACTCTCCGAAGGCCGACACTCAACTGCTGAGCCAAACTGGCCAGGGCTGTGCATATGCATATGTATTTAATAGTAATACATGTACAGGTAAAAACTTCAAGATGAGCACAAGGGTACAAGGTAAATAATCAGTCTTCTTCCAAACCCCTGTCCTCAGTCACCTAGCTCCTCCCCCCAGAAGTGACCACAATTAAATTTCTTATGTTTCTTCCAAAGATATTCTATGCATTTCCATGTGAGCACATGTATATATTGTATACACATTAAAAAAATACAATTGGAGCATACTACACATTTTTCTTCAATTGATCTTTCCTACACCAGATTATAAAGAGTGGCCTGATTATATTTTTTAATGGTTGAATAATATTTCAGTTATGGATGTTTCACATTTTAACATATTTTTTTAAACCTTCTGTTAAGACCAATAATGCTGTGTATGTGTCATTTTGTATGTGACAAGTCTATTTGTACGATGTTTTTAGAAGTAAAATGTAGTTTTAACTCTGATAGAGTTTTCTGTTTTATTAATAGATTTAGCCAAAACTTCCATTTATCGAGGCTGTACCAATTTAAATTCCTACCAGTAACATACTTCCAGATATTTAAACTAATAAAAAAGCACTCTCAGAATAGTACCATGGAAGTGTACCCGGGGCTTACCCTCACTGGTCTCTGTGCTTATTACAAAGATGAGTGACTCATATTTAGAGGTGCGATGAATTTTTTAAAAAGGGGAACTCCAACTCCGAGCTAAGTCAAGGCAATCTAAATCTAATTCTAATGAAGAAAAGTGGTGGAGCACCCTATCCATAGCAGAAGGGTGGTTCTTTTTTTTAAAATTTTTTTGTTGTAATCCTCACCTGAGGACATTTTTCCATTTTTTTGTTCAGATAGAGTGGAAGGGAGAGAGGAAGAGAGAGAGAAACATCGATGTGAAAGGTACACATGGAGTGGCTGCCACCCACACAACCCAACCAGGGCCGGGGACAAACTGCAACCGAGGTACATGCCCTTAGCGGGAACCGAACCCAGGTCTCTCTGGACCGCAGGCTGACGCTGAGCCAAACCGGCCAGGGCAGAAAGGTGGTTCTTAAACTTCAGTGCATGTGACTGATTCTGATGCAGAAGGTCTAGGGTGGGAACTAAGCAAGTCCTCAGGTGATTGTGATGTCAGCAAATGAAAGAGCCAGAGATGCTGGAAGATGTCTGTCAGGGACAGAAGGGAGGGGGAACACAGGCTGAGGCTTGTCCCCACGATGAATAGGAAGCAGGGCGGGCCGCGAGGTCATCAGATAGGTTAGTAAGTACATGGAGACATGCCCTTCAGCCGGAGCCGTTTATTACATGGCTGGAAACAAGCCTTCAGCTCCTGAAAGATGCCTGGGCTTTAAATAATAAATATGGAAACCATAAACACGTAAAATGAAGATCACACCGGTGTTACTCCGTTCACCGTGGGCACTGCGCTGTCGGCGCTCATTGCCTGTGCCTGGTGCTCTGGGAGCACCCCCCAGGGTCCCTCGGGCACTGCGTGACTGTGCTAGCTGTGTCTGCGGCCACGCTCGCACTCCAAGATGGAGTGGGGTCTGCCCCTCCCTGTCTGGGGACCTTCTCTCACTTGATGGCTTGGGAGCTGCGGTCCTCCGGGCTATCATCTACAGCCGTCCCTGCCACTTCGCGCTTCGTCTCTCATGGCTTCACTCTATCACGTTTTTAAAAATATACTCATTAAAAAGTTGATCAAGACTGTGAAAATGATACAGCGCGCGCTCGGTTGTCTGAGTCAATTATACACCCCTGTATTACAATTACAATTAAAATTACTGTACGTATGGACTGTAGGCCTGTGTATTCAAGCAGCCCAGGAGCCCTTCAACGCCAGGTGCAACCGCTAGAGTCTGGAAGGCTTAACCGGGATAAATGAGGGACGACTGTACTCCTCTCTGCCCTTGAAATGTGCTTAAGAGGGGCAATTATTTTAGCTTGATTAGGTGGGGAGAAGGGAGAAAAAAGTCAAAAGAAGGTGTTTTGGGTTTGTTTTAAATTATTAATTATATGTAAAGGGGGACGAGAAAGTAGAGATGGAAAAAACTGAAGTACTTAAAAAATTATAGAATGTAGTCAGACACACTTGGATATTGAAACCCTACTTTGTCACTTAATCAATTGTGTGACTTTGGGCAAGACACTTGACCTCTCTGAGTGTACTTCCATGTATGCAAATAAAGGATGACAACACCAACCCTACTTAGGATTCTTGTGAGGATTAGAAATAACCTAGTAAAAGTACCCAGCATTGTGTTGGGTATATTCCTTCCTTTCTACATTTATTTAACAAATGTTTAGTGCAAGTCTGTCTACCATGTGCCAGGGACTATTACAGGCAAAAGATGCTTAGACACACTGACTGGTTGCCTCCTGCATGACCCCGACCAGGGCCGGGAACAAACAGCAACTGAGGTACGTGTCCCTGACCGGAACTGAAGCTGCAACTCATTCGCCCGCGGGCCGACACTCTAACCACTGAACCAAACCGGCCAGGGCTGGTTTGCTTTTATCTTTAACTGCGCCCACCCCTTCCTGGTATCCTCAACATAGCAGCCAGTCCTTTTGTCATTCTGCTGCTGGGAACTCTGCCACGTCTCAATGGCTCACAAGGCCCAAAGTGACCTGCCTCCTCCATCTTCGCTCTCTCACCTCCTCACCCGCTATTCTTCCCCTCACCCCACTCCAGCCACCCTGGCTCAACCTTTTGCTGTTCCCTCTCTGAATACTCTTGCTCCAGATAGACAAATGGCTAGTCCTCACCTCCTCCAAGGTGTTGTTAGGTGTCTCCTTCTCAATAAGGCTGCCCTGACCACCCTATTGTAACCTGATACTCATCCCCACTCTGCCAGTTCCTGATCCCCCATACTCTGCTCAACACAGTACTTCTAAGGCACATCATTTACTTATTATGTTGACTGTTTACTGTCTGTCCCCAACTACGAGGATCTTTATTTTGTTCTCTGATGCACACCAAGCTTCTAGGACCATGCCTGCAACACAGTAGGTGCTTACTTAGTAAATATTTCTGGAATATAATAAATAAAGTGTCATTTTGATCCTTTCCCCAGCTGCCTCAAGTACATTCTGTCACTGACCCTTGTCCCCAAGCTTCCCCATGGATCTTTGTGAAGGTGGTTCCTTCACCAGGGTTTACGAAATCAGTAGTGATTTTCAAGAATGTGCAAGTTCTTTCCCTGTTTTTTTTGTTTGTTTGTTTTTAAGCCACTTACTGCACTCAGTGTTCTTTAGCTGAATTTATTTTTTATTCCTCACCCGAGGATACTTTTCTCTTTATCATCAGATAGGGTGGGAGGGAGGGAGGGAGGGGGGGAGGGGGGAGGGAGAGAGAGAGAGAGAGAGAGAGAGAGAGAGAGAGAGAGAGAGAGAGAGATGTGATAGAGCCACATCAACTAGTGGCGTCCCACATGACCAGACCAGGGCTGGGGATGAAGTACAACCGAGGTATGTGCCCCTGACCAGAATCGAACCTGTGACTCATTGGTCCGCAGGCCGACACTCCAACTGCTGAGCCAAATCAGCCAGGGCTTTAGCTGAATTTTTAAACTCCTAGGTCCAAACAGAGCATGGAGGGCTGGCAGGGCTATGTGAAGGGCTCTTGAGTGGCAGCTGAATTCTGCCGCAGCTGGGCCGTTGGTGGACACACTCCACACGTGTCCTGAAGGACCTGACCAGCTGCTGCTCCCATGTGGCTCTGAAGCAGAATGCGTTTTACTATCACAGTTACACATGGATCGTGTATTTTCATGGGCGCCCCTTTTATGTTATATATCATTAAGGCTCGTCAATTGAATGAAAAAGAATGGAGATGATGAACTCTGCTGTGCACCCCTTGGTACTCATTCTCATGGTCCATGGTGCATTTTGGGAACCATCAAACTAAATTATCACCATTGACCATTTTTTCCTCAACTTGGCTTTCCAACCCAACTACTGTTTTAACGAATACCAGAAACAGGTCTTGTTGAAGTCACAAGAAGTCCTGTGATCATAATATGATCACTGTATTGCTTAATTCCTAGATGCATGATTTTTTTTCATATTTTAACATCTTAAATGAGAATGCATCTTACCACCGATAGTGTCCTACAATAAATTGGCAGCATTTTTTTTCTTTCTTAGAGGTAACTGAATTAATGGTGTGTCTTACAATTGATGGAATTTTAGAGTCACTGAAATTTGGTTTATCAAATCATCTGACTTTGGAGACTAACCCTAAAGAACATGGATAACCATATCTGGTACTGAATTTCCAAGTAAGGTCAAATTCCACACATCATGGAAAGCCAACCTTCAACTTCTTAGAGATAACATGCCAATCAATCTGAATTTACATTTTGATCAATTGAAACAGCAAGAGAAATGCCATGGTCTACCGCACAAAAGCATGCAAAATGAGAACTTATCAACTCTATCTAGAGACTTGGGGACCCAGAGAACAAGCCAATTAACCCCAATTTGCTCTCTGTAAAACAGAGATAACGAGTTTGGAATTTACAGTTGCTAGCTCTTCGGTGATACAAGATGCAGTAAGGCACGTGGAAAGGCACAGGACCAGAGTGAGGGGACCCACAGGCAGCCCTCAGACCCCAGCCGGTGGCCTTGCTTACACGTGACAGTGCCTGTTCCTTGGGGTTGCTGCCTCACGTGTAAAGCAGGGGCTATGATAAAATGATTGCCAGGTTCCCTTCCAGCTCGCAACTCACATCGACTCCTGGCTTGAGTGTGGTGCTGCTGATGTGTTTTGCTCTTTGTTACACAAACAGGAAAGAACTGCAATTCCCTCAAGAGAGAAGAGAGGACTACGGGCGACTCAAGGGCCGAGAGAGCCCAATATCCTGATTGCCTTGCCTTGCTCAACTCTGCTTCTGAAAGCAGCAGCAGAAAGAGAAGTGGGGCTGGCTCTAATGGCATTTTAAAATAAAGCAAGATGGCCCTGGCCGGTTTGGCTCAGCGGTTAGAGCGTCGGCCTGCGATCCTGACAGACCCAGGTTCAGTTCCCGCTAAGGGCACGTACCTCGGTTGCAGTTTGTCCCCGGCCCTCGTTGGTCGTGCGGGTGGCAGCCACTCGATGTGTCCCTTTCACGTCGATGTCCCCCCCCCCCCCCCCGTCCCTCCCACTCTATATGAACAAAAAGTGGAAAAATGTCCTCGGGTGAGGATCAAATAAATCAATAAATAAAATAAATCAAGATGAAACCTACAGATTTAGAAAACAGAAGATTTAACAGTGCTATTCATGATTTTAAATACGTATGGTGTGCCAGAGAGGGCACAATAAAAAACAGTAGTACCTACTCATTCTCTCCCTAAAAAAAATCAATAAACATATTCTCGGGTGAGGATTTAAAAAATATATATATCTGTTGGTTCCCTACCACTTTCTGAGAATAAGGTCCAAACCTCTTGATGCAAGACAGAAGGACAGAAACCCTTGCAAAACATGGCTTCAACCTACCTTAACACCTCGTATCTGCCCAGGCCTCCTCTATGCTCACCTTGTCACTGCCCAGGCCCATGCTGTTCTTTCATGCCTTGGCAGGTGCTGTTCCTTCTGCCAAGAACGCTCTTCTTCTCTTGCCAATTTGCCAACCTTGGACCTGATTCTGTCAGTCCTTGCTCAACAGCACCTTCTCAGCAAAGCCTTTGTTTGCAACCCCTGCCCCCGGCTCACAGAGAATCTCTATCTAGAACCTTTGTTCAGAATTCTCCGGTAGCCCTTACCGTGTTGTTCCACTCTGGGCCACCTGTCAGGCGCTCGAATGTTTGCTGATGAAGTGAAAATAATTGTTTCAAGTAATATTAATCTGTGCCAAAAGAATATTCATTTTTGGAAATTATTTGTCTTATAAATCAGAAACATAACTGGCAATATGTTAAAATGAACTACTCTTCCTCTCTGGTGTCTCTTTGTTTTGTTTACTCACACAGAGGATATAATATATATACAATTTTTTTTTTACCTCTTCTGGCAACACCTCTTGTTCTTTTGCTTGAAGATACATCTCTTGAAGTTTTTCCTTTAGAAATTCCATTTCTATTTCATTCACTTGGCTCTCACTCAGGTAAACACCTGTTTCATGCTCACACCCATCTCGATGATCTTCCTCGGGGATGTGAACAGCCCAGTCTGATATCAACAGCTGTTGGATTACCAAACAAATATATGAACTGACTGAATGGAAAAGACATTCTACTGGACGACTTGAAGAATTTATAATTAAATAACACTGACTGGATCTAGTTTAATTACATCCCGTGATCATAGAAAAGCTTCTTAGCAAAGTACAATTCTAGATTTCATGTCAACATGTTTTTCCCTGTTGACATGCTAAAATTTCATTTAAACCTAATAAGTTTCAAATTCTAAATGAATGACGGTGGTTGCTTTTCCCCTTTAGTTCTTTATGCCAGGACTGTTAGAATCGAATTTTTACCTGTTCTATTCTGGAGTACACCTCCACAATCTCCGGGATACCACGGAATTCATTCAGAAAATTTTGGATCTTCACCTGGAAATCTCGAAGCCATGTAGAAGACACCTTCATCTCTGAAGAGTGCATGATATCATTACGACACTTAATGACCTCCAGAAAGACAGAAAAAGATAAAAGGCTTCAAAATCAAACAGTGGGGTAAACAGATTTTGTAGTTCCAAAGAAAAGCTGCAGACAGTCTTTCTGTTAGTTCCAAAAATGTTCCACCCCCTGCCACTTTAATAAGTTCATCAGGGTAAGAAATGCAAACAAGCTCACAACTATCCTTAGCCCTTGAAATCTTGGGACTGGCTGGATATCTCTTACAATGCCCAATATCCCTTAACTGAAGACAACCTGTCGAAGAGCAAGAGTACTGGCTACTGGCTCTGCATACACCCAAAGGCTGAAACAGACAATGCAAAAATCCTTTAAATATCATCGGAGCTTCAGGAAGCTGGGCCAAAGGAGTTTTTGGTTGTGGAAACCATGATGAAAAGACTAACTTCTGCCTGTATTTTACGACAGATGGTGCTGTCTAATCATATATGAATTAATTCATGTAAAGTCTTCCATATCTTCGTTAAGAGATATCACAGGGGTCAACTTTATACTGCGATACTTTTTGTCTCTGCTGATGTCAGGATTCTCAGTCCTTTCAGCCGCTGGCAATCTAGCAAAACATGCATTTTTCTCTACATATTATAAATAATCCATTCAAATATAGTCTCTTCAATGACCCTCAGAGTAATAAATGTGCCAGAGCTGTTCTCTGGTGAAACAGACAAAGTCTAATTCTCTGAAGAAATCTGACATAGTGATCCATTCTGACCTTGCTTACTCACTAGTGTTTCTATTTTCTCCAGTTCTACGTAACTTGGTCTCGCCAATGAAATTTAAAAGGGCAGGACTCAAATGCTGGCATACCATGAACAGAACGATACACTGCTCTGTGTATATATATATATATATTTTTTTTTTAACACTGAAAATAACTTTGCTTCTGTTTATGGCAGAACAGAGAAGAGAAATGTGAGGTTCACCTAGTTTAGTGGCGAAAGGTACAACAAGTTGCCAGGAAGCTTTAATTAGGGAGAACTGAAAGGTATCGCCTGACCGCATTTGCACAGGAGTTCTTGGACATCACAGAAGGTGCATGGGATGTGAGCCCCACTAGCCTGCTGAGCAATGCCAACTTCGAAGCAAGGTTTAAGTGTCTTTGCACATCACTGTTTTGGGGAGACACCGTGTGCTACATGTGCACGCTGCTTTCGCATCGCAGGGTGTGTTTCTCAGCTGGTCATCACAGTACCTGCTGACACGGTACATGACTGACTCCCACTGTACAGTTTGAACTATGACAGCTCTTACCTCTGTGACTTTCTTCCTATCAACCATGAAGTGATCACAGGAGTTGATAAGGTTTAAAAGGGCAACGGCATCACAATCCTCAGGTCCTGTTTTGTCTGCCTGTCCTCGGGGCATGAAGGCCTGTAGGAGGGGAGAGGCGAGGGGCACCTGAATCTCTTCTAACCCTATGAGCTCCTGGGGCCTTTGTCACTTGTCTGTTTCCCCAAAATTGACTGCAATTCTCTTACTGAAGTTTCAACTTAGAGCCTCACGAGTCCAAAACCCAAGTCAGGAAACAGGGTGACAGCTAAGCCTTGGCCAAGGGCAATAACTTAAGGGTTGCTCTATCTGTCCCTCTGCTCTTAGAGGCACTTAAACATTTGTTACAATTGGTTGTCTGCCCTTTCTTAATGGCATATAAGCAGGAAGCATGGGTAGAAAGCACCTTATTTCTTTACCTTACTGAAGTGTCAGTGGCTGAGTTTTTAGATTTTTTTTCCTTTATTGATTAAAAAATTTTTTTCTTTATTGATATTAGAGAGCGAGAGGAAGGGAAAGGGAGAGAGAGAGAGAAACACTGATGAGAGAGAACCTGGATTGGTCGCCTCCTGCATGCCCCACCCCGGGGATTTGGCCGACAACCTGAGCATGTGCCCTGACTGGGTATCGAACCGATGACCTCTTGGTGCATGGGTCGACGTTCAACCACTGAGTGGCTGAGTTTTTAAAGAAAATTTAAAATTTAAAAATAAGTTACTCCAAAGTGGACACAAAAATGACTTGAGAAAGTTCAGTATGGTTGTATAAAGTTAAGAATCTAGCCTTGGCCAGTTTGGCTCAGTGGTCAGAGTGTCAGCCCGTGAACCGGAGAGTCCCAGGTTCGGTTCCCGCTAAGGGTACCTTTGTTGCAGTTTGTCCCCAGCCCCGGTTGGGGTCGTGTGGGTGGTGACCAGTCAATGCTTCTTTCTCTCTCTCTCCCTCCCACTCTATCTGAAGATAAATACAAAAAAAAAAAAAAGTCCTCGGGTGAGAAGGAAGGAAGGGAGGGAGGAAGGGAGAGAGGGAGGGAGGGAGGAAGGAAGAGAGGGAGGGAGGGAGGGAGAATCTAGGCTTTGGAATGTGTGCCACAGGACTGGGTTCAAGTCCCAGCTCTGCCACTTGCCAGCTGTGTGACCTTGGGCAAGTTACTTGTCCTCAGATCCCTCATCAATAAACAGGGGTAACTGTTCTCATCTACCTCAAAGTATGTTGTGAGAATTAAACAGGTTAATGCAAGTAAAACACCTGCTTGGTGTCTGGCATATGATAATAAACAGGCCACAAATGTTGGTAGTTATCTTGTTGATGGTGCAGGGTGAGGAGGACCTCCGTAGGAGTTACAGATGGAATCCCAGGGTTTGAGGCACTAGATGATAGCAGAAGGGCCTTGTTCTAGCACGATCTTGCCTGTTATAGCATTTTCTGGCACAAACCACAAAAATGGTGTTATAGCAAGGCTTGGGCATATTTCTTTCCTGAAATATTTCCAAATTTACATCCGAAGGCAACAACTTTACCAAGCTAAGCAGCTCAGGAGTACATTCCTGCCAAGGGACTAGAAAAGATGACATGTGAAAAATTACGTGCAATGAGAATTCTAAATAAAGAGTTCGCTTGAAAACAAACACATTTCAGTAGGCAATTGACCGCAATGCCTCCTACAGTGCCCCTCGAAATGCATTCCAAAAAAGGCTCGTGGGAGGTGCCGACACACCCGGGAGAGTCAGGGCTATGTTCCTGATGGTGGTGAGATCCTACACCTGGGCCTCATGTAATAAAAAAAATTTTGTATACCCGGAATGGCCCCTATCAAAATATATGGTGGCCAGTGCCATCACTGTTCTCTGTCTTAACAGCCACTAACATGCCAGCCCTCTGAAAGAAGCCAACTATGGATGCTACAAATGCTAACAATGGAGTTAATGCATCACGGGCAAACTAATTCAATGAAAAGGAAGAAAAGAAGAAACTCTGCTTACTCCAGCTGTCACTGAGAGAGAAATACAAACTTAGAGGAGCCTTGGTTGCCTCAAAACCAGTCACAGTTTATCTTTTCCATTACAAGGTATGTTCTGTCTCGCATTTTCTCGCCAATATAAACCTGTCTCTTCCACATTAAAGTTTGATCCTAGTAATTATTCCCTTTCTTTAGAAATAGAAGCCGACAGGGAGGCTCTGCTGCCTCCTTGCCTCTGGAGAGCTGTTTCTTAAAATCGTGTCGCATACCACCATGTTCCATGTGCTAAACGCACAGTTCTGTGAAACACGCCTATCGCCTCTCACTACCTCTGCTGTCTCTGCACTGAGTAGTAGGTGAGGTTGGAGAAATAAAGGCCAGATCATGCTGGGCCTTACTGGCTCTGGAAAGGAATTCGGAATTTATTCTAAGGACATCAGGAAGCCACCCAAGGGTTTCAGGCAAGGGAAAAAAAGGATCTACTTCCTATTTGAAAACCACACATCCTGCTGCGTGGAGAAACCACCAGAGGTGACCGCGCAGCAGGGGCGGCTAGGTGGGAGGCTGCAACCAGAGGCCAGAAAGGAGAGGATGAGAGTTGTGACGCAGAGATGGAGAGAAGGGGGATTCCATAACTATTTTGCAGGTGCAAAGAGGGTAGTGAGAGTTTGGAAAGAGATGAAGCAAGAATGATTATAGCCCTGGCCGGTGTGGCTCAGTTGGTTGGAGCATCATCCCGTATACCGAAAGACTGTGGGTTCGATTCCTGATCAGGACACATACCTAGGTTGCAGGGTTTTTTTTCTTTTTTTTTTTTTAGAGAGAGAGGAAATGAGAGGGAGAGAGAGAAACATCGATGAAAGAACATCGACAGGCTGCCTCCTGCATGCCCCCCATGGGGGATTTGGCCCACAACTTGGGCATGTGTCCTGACCAGGAATCAAACCAGTGACCTCCTGGTGCATGGGTCGATGCTCAACCACTGAGCCACACCGGCTGGACTAGGCTGCAGGTTTGACCCCTGGTTGGGGTACATACAGAAGGGAACCAATGTTCTCTCTCACATCAATGTTTCTCTCTCTGTCACTCTTCCTCTTTCTCTACAATCAATAATAAGCATATTCTCAAGTGAGGATTAAAAAAATGAAAGAATGATTGTAGCTAGTTGGTGGTGGGGCACAGGCGTAGGTTTGGAGAGCAGAGATGAAGAGTCCTGCTTGAGAAGTCAACACAAAGTGCTCAGGAGCTAATGAAGCAGAGGAGTCAGTCAAGTAAGCGGGAGATGGGCACCCGGAGCTCCTAAGAGAGGGCAGGGCTAGGGGTACAAATCTGGAGCCATGAGCATAAAAGTCATATTGAAATTTTCACTCCATGGACATGGGCAGTATCACTAGAGGAAGAGAGGGGGCAGAAGAGGCCTGAGAAAGGCCAACAGTCAGAAAGAGGCTGAGGAGGAGCCCGGAGAGAACGATGTCACCAAGCCAGGAGTGTTTCGAGAGGAGTGGCAAGTAGTGCTGAATGCCTGAGAGGAAGACAGATAAGGCTGGAGAACTGAAAGTCGCATGTGCCCCACAAGACAGCTGCAGTGGAGGGGCCAGGGTGCAAGCCGGGGTGGAATGGGTCGAAGAGACTGGGAGCTGAGGAAAAGAGAAAATAAGCAGAAAACCGTCTTTCTTGAGAAGGTCTACCGGATATACACATCCGGAGGCTGAGAAATGGGGAAATAGCTGGAGGGAATATATCAAGGGAAGTTTTTTTCTTTTGAAATTTTATGTTCCAAGTGTTCATTCAAGTGTTTAAAAGAAAAAAGCTTTATTGGGATATAATTCACATACCATACAATTCACCCATTCAAAGTGTACAGTTCTTTGCCACAACATGGATAGATCTGGAGGGTATTATGCTAAGTGAAATAAGTCAGAGAGAGAAAGAGAAGCACTGTGTGATCTCACTTATATGTGAAATATAATAAAACAAAACACCAAGCTCATAGTACAGAGAACACATTGGTGGTTGCTGGAGGCAGGAGTGGGAGAAATGGGTGAAGGGAGTCAAAAGGTCGAAACTTCTAGTTATATAATAACTAAGTCTTGGAGATGTAATGCATAGCATGGCGACTATAGTTAATAGTACTGTATCGTTAAGAGAATAGATCTTAAAAGTTCTCGGAATAAGAAAAAAAGGAACTATGTACGGTGATGCTAGACTTACTGTGGTGATCATTTTGCAATATACACAAATACTGAATCATTACAGTGTACACCAAAAACTAATGTTATATGTCAATTATACCTCAATAAAATTTTTTTTTATCCTCACCTGAATACATTTTTCTTTAGACAGATTAGGAGGCAGGGAGAGGGAGGGAGGGAGGGAGAAGGAGAGGGAGAGGGAGAGAGAGAGATAAAGAGAGAAACATTGATGTGAGAGAGACACAGACTGGTTGCCTCCCTTGCGATCCCAACCAGGGTCAGGGATGAACCACAACCGAAGTATGTCCCCTTGGCCAGAATCGAACCTGGGTCGCAGTGGTCCACGGGCTGACGCTCTAACCACTGAGCCAAACTGGCCAGGGCTCAATAAAATTTTTTAAGTGCGCAGTTCAGTGGTTTGCAGTATATTCAGAGTTGTACAACTATTACCACGGTCAATTTTAGAACATTTCATCAACCCAAAAAGAAACCCTCTATCCAGACCCCGGCAACTACTAATCCATTTTCTGTCTCTATGGATTTGCCTATTCTGGACAAAAGAATAGTATAAGGTATTGTATAAATGGAATTATACAATATATGCCTAATTCTTTCACTTAGCCTAATGTTTTCAAGGTTCATCCAAAGTTGCAGCACGTATCATATTTCACTCCTTTTTATGGCTAAATAATCCATTATACAGATAAACTACATTTCGCTTATCTAGTCATTAGTTGATGGACATCTGTGTTGTTTCCACCTTTTGGTTATTGTGAATAGTGCTGCTATGAACACTTGTGCACCGGTTTCGTGTGGATATTTGGTTTCATTTCATTGGGTGTATATATATCTAGGAGTGAAATTGCTGGGCCACATAGTAACACTATGTTTAATCTTTTCTTTCTCTTAAAAAAAATTACATAAACCATGGCACCATTAAAGCTATTTATATGGTAATGGGAATAAGCTGGGTGGGAGGAAGAGTGGATAAATGAAGACTCAGAATCCTTGAGCAGATGGAAAAATTCAACACACAAGTGGAGGGACAGGGCGATAAGAGGAGAGACGCCCTTCCTCCTCTGTAGCAGAAGGAAGACGGTGTACATGGAGGGAGGTTAGTAGGTTTGGTAAAGATGAGTATGTATGTGGGGGTATTCATCAACTCCAGGAAGTGTGAGCGAGGTTAGCAGCTGGGATAGAGGGTGGAGGAACGCGAGTGGGAGTTTGGCAGCAACAGTCATCTCCAGGAACAGGAGCCTAAGACACATGGTCAGACTGCTGGGGCTCATGAGCCAGAACTGTGAATGACACGATTCCATTTGTTTAATTGTTGAATAACACACACACACACACACACACACACACACAGTATCTATCTTCTTTATTCATTCATCTACTGATAGACACCTAAGCGCACATATCTTTTTGAATTAGTATTTCTGTTTTCTTCTTGCCATCTGGGACAACATGGATGGATTTAGAGGGCATTATGGTAAGTGAAATAAGTCAGACAGAGAAAGACAAATACCGTATGATTTTGCTTATATGTGGCATCTAGAAAAACAAAGGAATAAAACCAAACAAAACAGAAACAGACCCCCTAGATATAGAGAACAAGTTGATGGTTGCCAGAGGGAAGGGGGTGAGGGGATGAGGAAAATAAATAAATAAATAAATAAATAAATATGTTGCTCATTAAAAAAGAAAAGAAAAACTGAAAGTAAAACCAATCAGCTTCCCTTGTGAGATTCTTCCCGTGAGCAGAAGCAGATGATGGTATCATCAGGGCTAAAGTTGGGCCAGGAAAGTTCGGAGAAAGGAGGATGGGTTGGCAAGAATATGAACACAGGGTTGGACAAGAAGGTCTGTAGGTGACAGCATTGAAAAGTGGCATAAACAGGTGGCCTGTGCTTCAAGAGGATTCCGAGGGTGTAAGAGCAGCAACAGAGACCAAACAAGTGAGGGACAGTAAAAGGTGTTTTTTGTTTTTATTTTTAATCCTCACCCAAGGACATTTTTGCATTTATCTTGAGAGAGAGAGGGAGGAAGAGAGAGAGAGAGAGAGAGAGGGAGAGAAACATCCATGTGAGAGAGAGACATCGACTGGTTGTCACCCACACGACCCCAACCGGGGCCAGGGACAAACTGCAACCGAGGTACATGCCCTTAGCGGGAACCGAACCTGTTATTCTCTGGTCTGCAGGCCGACACTCTAACTGCTGAGCCAAACTGGCCAGGGCAAAAAGGTGGAATTTTAAGTTGTTTTTCTTTTCTAGGTAACAGGAGAAGTTGGCAATTCTGTAGTCCTTTAAAAAAAAAAAATGGGGAAGAGGGTGCAGGTGTGGTGGGTTTACCAGACCATGATAGCCAGAAGTCTGGGGGCTGCTGATACTGTCTAACTTCATTTTTTCGGTTACGGAACACAGGCTGGCCCAATGTCACACCACAGCAGCTGAGCTGGGACTCTGATTTCGGCTTCCCAGGCACCATGCCTGTGCCTGCTGCTAACTGGCATAAAGGCTGATTCCAAAAATTATTCTGTATTAGGAGGCCACTTTGCCCCTCACCACCCGCTACACGGTTTCTGGCAAACACAAAAAAAGGCGCACACACATACAACAAAAAAATTCCCCAACTGGCTTAGCTAGTAAGTCAAATTGCCAAAATCTAAAAACAGGTCTAATAGTATCCTTCTATCTGGCTGCCTACCCCATCTCCAAAGTTTTATACCTTAGATGGACACTTCAAGTCCTTCATATTTTAAGCCTTTTCTTTCCTTGCCTTACTTTGCCATCCTCATGGTATACTAGAACCAAAATGAGCTACTGAGGGAGCTTACCCTCAAAAACGCCTTTCTGGTTCTCCCTCTGTGCCTGTGCTCATGTTGCTCACGCTCCATCTTGTCCCAGCATCTCTTGCGGAAATCTTGCCTATAGCTTTGCAAGCGGGAGTAGCAAACTCAAATGCCGTCAGGAAGCAGACAGACAGAAGCGAACTTGTACTTCACCAAGCTGGGTTGGGTCCAATAGAAGTCCTGAACCGCCTAGACACCAGACTTTAGGTTAAAAACCCTATTTCTGTGGATCTGTGTATGAATTCCCAGGCTCCAGGTGACTCCTACCTGGTGTATCCCGCCCCCTAGCCCTACAGACTGCAGGTGCTTACCTTGGCCACCTCCCAAGCGTCCACGGGCCATCGGCCCGGCCGGCAGTTTCCCCAGTGGACGTCTCCGTTTCTGTTGGTGTGATGTTTCAAAATCTCCCGCTTCCACTCGGCACACACCTGACACTGAGGCTGGAACTACAGGAGGCGGCGGTGAGGGAGGGTCATTGGGCATCTGAGCCCCGGGCGCTGCGGTCGGCCCCGCGCCAGGGAGTGCACGGGCACTGCGCGGGGACAGGGACGGGGACGGGGACGGGGACGGGAGGCGGTGGTCAAGGCCCCAGGGCAGATGCTCACCTGGCGGGCGCGCGGGCTGCACCGCGAACCGCTGCGGCAGGTGGTGCCGGGGCTCAGGCCGGGAGCGGAGGCGAGCAGGCCGCGGTGAAAGGCCACCATTTCCCGGCCGACGAAGCCCTGCAGGCAGCCGCGCAGCAGCAGCAGGCAGTAGCCCGCCTTCACCCAGTTCTTGTACTCCGTGCAGTTGAGGCGAGCGGCCAGCTCAGGCAGCACCATTTTCCGCGCCTGCCTGGGAAGCCGCGGGGGCGGGGCGGGAGCGAACGGCAGTGCGCAGCCGCAGAATCCTAGACAGTGCCGGAAGCAGCGCGGCGCGTGGGCGTGTCCCCGCCTGCAGGCCGCCCCCGCGCAGGGCGTGCGGCAGACTGCGCTCCCCGGGCGGGCGGGGCGTGCTGGCTCCTGGGCACGTCGGCCCCACCCTAGTCTTATGTGACCTCAGAAGTACAAGTACTTTGGTGCTTGCCGGGAAAGCTTCTACCAGAAACTTAACGCCTTCTTCTCTATTCCCCCAAACTGAGACCCAGCCAGCACCAGATTCTCCTCCCTCTCTTGATGCCCATTACTCCTGTGTGTGTTTGTTTGTTTTGTAGGGATATAGAAGGTACTCAAAGCACATTTCTTGAAGTATGTTCTAGTTAAGTTTACTTAACTGGTTTCTAAGCCCACAGATTGGCTGTAGCAAATCGGGGCATTAGTGAAATGTGACCGCGGTCGCCTGTTCCACGCACTATTTATTATACGTTTGCAGTGCGCCAAGGTAACACCTTGGAGCCACATGGGAGGCAAAGTGGAAAACGCATCATCTGGATTCTGGAGGGTGGATTCTGGAAGGCTGCAGCACCCGGGGCCGGATAAGGGGTTTCTTCTTTGGTCCTGAAGCTTTGAGCTTAGATGATTATTTAGTACTTATTACGTGATAATTAGTGCTCCTCCCAAAAGGGAGTCTGAGTTAAGTTCCAAATAATTGTGCCATGAGGGTCAGAAGGCAATGAACTGTCAACTCCGAACAAGAGGTCATCTCAGTTTGAGTGAGCTTCTTGAGCTTGGAAAACATGTTAAAATTGTGTGTAGTCAAAAGGCTCTGAGGGAAGAGTCTAAACATTGAAACCTGTCCCTGACTTCCTATTTCACAGCAAAGTGGCAGTGTTCAGAACTAGGTCTGGACTCAAATTGCCTCTTCTTAGCTGTTTGATCTTAAGCAGTCTTAAATTTGATCTCAGCAAGTTACATTTCTTTAGGTCTCAGTTTACGCATTTGTAAAAGGGAGTCAATACCTACCCCATTTTGGTTGTTGTGGGTACTAAATACACACCGAAATGCTTAGAACAGTGCCTGGCAATAGTAAGCTCTCAGTAAATTTTAGTTTTTATTTTATATTGACCTAAATGTGCCCTTTCATCAATCAGTCATATTCCTGGGCAAGTATTTCATATCACAGCCCCTTGGAAGTGGAGGCAATTTATATAGCAAATTGTGAGATCATGGTCTCCTGGAGTTGTATCGCACAATGCTGGTTGGCCTCTGCTAATTTTTTCTTAACAACCTCAATACTAAATCTATCCTAAATAAATTTAAAATCATTCCCTTAAGACACACACTGTCCATTCCCATCAAACCAAGTGAAAGAAAAAATTCCACAAGTAACAATGATATATACATTAGTATTTTTCCTTTTTGTCCCTTAAGTTCCCTGATCATAAAGTTCTCTTAAAATTTTTGGTACATTGATTTTATATCAAGAACTCTTGGGTAATAAATATTAAAGCAAAATGTAATAAGTATTTCTTTTGGGAGAAAATCATGAAAGAAACAATTTTTTATGTTGAAATTGGATCCAAATTTAGAGTAGTAAAATTATGGTTCTTGAAGTTATCAAATTAACCACAGTCCAAAGAATGACTAACAAACTATTTGTATCTTGTGGCTGGACAGGTTACTGTGTTAATTGCAACACAGTAAAGTTATTAGTGGTATTCAAATTAAAAATCACGTATATTTTAGTTTACACCCATACTTTGCTCACTCAGAGTTAATTTCAAATATAAGGTTCTGCCCATTATTAATAACTTGATATGTTCAGTTGAAGTTTTCGTTTTCCCAATTCTGAAAGTAGTTCTATACATTCTGAAATGGCATTTCAGCAGATAGAAAAAAAGGAGGCAAATCAGAACCAATTTCTTCTTTCAAGGTTAAACTAATACTAAACCATACTACTATCCAAGCATCTTCATGAAAATTAACTAGTGAGAGTTGGTAGTTCTCTGAAACTTGTGTAAATTTTATTTATTATTAAAATCACATTGAAAACATCTTAAAGACCCCAAACCCCCTAGTATAAAAAATATCTATGGGCATCCAATCCCTTTGATTGAAACTGGGTAACAAAAGAGGCAAAAGACATGGTTTGTGATGAAGCCTAAAATTCGATTGCTAGTGTTTTCAAGCTTTAATAAAGTATATACCAATTCCAAGTACCAAGCATGATATCAAAATTCAAATTCATGGGTGTACTCTTAAATAAGCATCAAAATACAAATTTTGTTCACTGAATCCTATCTTACTTCTGATTTGCACAATGCATTCAGAGATGAGTTATAATTAGGAAAAAAGTGTCCACTGAATGCATCATGTTTAAAAATGCAATTAACATTTCAAAACCAACCATACTTAAAAGGGAAAATACCTGAAAAGTTAACTCTATTAATAAAATTATTTGAGGCAATATTATCCTGTAGATAAAAATATATTTGTTGTATATACATGTAGATTTCTACATGAAAGAAAGGATTCAGCTCCAAATAGAAAAGGGCTGACCCTTGATAAAGACATCTTAGATTGACAAACCGATGTGATTACCACTGCAAGGAGAACTGGAAGCAGAAAGATAAAAGGTAAAGTTAAAGGAAGGATAAAAGTTTAGTCACCTGCTCCTGAATAGTGGCAGAATTGGGCAGAGAAGCAGGAGATGAAGGCAGAAATAAGACATAGAAGAAAGGCAAAGAAGGCCTCAACTCTGACCAGAAATGAATAGAGAATCAAGCAAAGTTGAGAACAGATATGATACAGCTGCAGTGAGATGCTTGAAACTAGAATTTAGTACTTGATAGTTACAGAAGTTCAATTAAATAATCTAAAATGGAATTTGACAAAGCATCTGTAATTTAATGGAGAACCAATATTACAGTGACAAGATAACTCAGCATGGTAGTGTCATTTAAAAAACTTTCCCAAATAACATCAAGTCACATGAAGACCTTTGCTTCTGATCACATTCTTTCAAGCTTATCCAAGTCCCTGACTGACTGGGAGAGACAACACAGGGCTCCAAAAGGAAACTCTGCTGAGATGTGTCAGTATCAGAAACTCCGTTTGACTCTGGACAGACCCTGGATTTTAGATTCTTCGAAGTGAGGGGACTGGACTAGGTTTCTTCCAAGCGAAACATTTTATCGTTTTGTTGACAATGAATTAAACTGGGATTGTTTAGAATAACCCCAACTTTGGTGGGGAAGTTAAGCAAGATAAGGAAACACCGCAGAAATCTCATGCAAAGGCAGAGCATTCAAATTCTGTTTCCTAATTAATGCTGTATGCAGAAGTGTCCCGTAAGCTAAATTTGCCTAACAGAAAAGTTACCACATCCTCAACAGACAAGAATATTGCAGTATTTGGGATCCTTGATTAATCTGAAGTACACGTTGACTCTTCTGCAAGATTGGGTTCTTTCTTTTTTTTACCAAAATCCTGAACTGAAAGACAACCAAGGTACTAAATGTTCACCACCAATCAATTTAGGAATGTTTGAAGAAAATTAACTTGAAACAAAGAAGTAGATGTTTTTGGTCAAATTTCAGACACATATTATTAGAAATTAATTACTGGCCCCACCAAGTTAAAGATGAAGGGAGGCCCTGAGAAGTCTATAGAGCTGATATACACACAAGTGTCACTGTTTTTGTTTGTTTGTTTGTTTGTTTTTAACCTAGTTTTATTAAATATTGCTTCTTTGGGATGTTTTTATAACAACTCCCAGAACATTTTCATGTAAGGATTCAAAGCGGTCATATTAAAATACAGCTTCAATATAAAGTTTATCACAGTTTTACAGTATTCAAAACGACAGACCTGCCTTAAAAAAAACAAAAACAAAACCCAAAAAAGGACTATTACACCCAAAACATAAGAAAACAATTAAATAAACAAGTTTGGCATTTCCGTAACTTTATAGTATAAAACAGATATTAAATCTAAGATTGGCAAGCGGACACTGATGTATTACCTAGTTTGAAACGTGTCCCATTTAACACACTATACAAGTTCACTATACAAAAGATTGATGGTCTGTTTGATGAAAGAAGTGCGCCCTGAAAATTTTTTCGAGTTTAGAATATTTAGCTCTTAAAGTCAAAAAAGTCCTTTTCCTTTTTTAAACTGAAGGCTGAATTCAGACTTTTTTTTTTGTTGTTTTGTCTCATTTGTCAGCCTTCCTGGTTTAAAAACAATAGTGTCTATGGACGCCCACCAGGGGGCAGTGTAAGATTAGCCATTAAATCACGAACAGCTGCAAATATTGTGCATTCACCTGCAACAGAGAAAAATGGTCATTAGCTATTCACAATACAGGAAAGATGATGTCAACACACCGGTGGGGTAGGGGTAACTAAATCTAAAATTAGCAAGAACTTTAAAGATCACAATAAAAGAGTAAATTTTAACTGTACAGGTTACTGGGGATTAAGGTTTGGTGTTAAGTATCAGATGATGATTTGATTTGGGTTTTATTTTTTCCTTATGAGGAAATTTTGGGAAGGCCCAGTTAGGTTTGAATTTAAGAAGATATGCCTAGAGTTTCTTTATAGAAACACTGGATAAGGAGCACTGGATAAACCTTTGAAGTTGAGCTTCAAGGCTACGGACAACTGGCTTATGCATTTTGAATCTAATGAAAAGATCTACAGTTTATATTTATGCATTTGTTACAACATCAGTGGTGTCCTAATGTTGCATTAAAGCTCAGATAAGATCTCTATGACAGCACCATCCAATAGAACTTTCTGTGATGATGGAAATATCCAATACATGCACTGTGGCTACCAAGCACTTGTAGTTAGGGTGACTAAGGAATTGAATTTTAAATTTTATTTATTTAATTTTAAATAACTTGAATTTAAATAGCCACATGCAGCCAGTGACAGTTGTATTGGACAGTGCAGTTCTATGAATCTATTGGAGTTTTCTCC